TTTATTGATCCGCCAAACGCCTTTTCAGCTCAACCTGATCGTCCACGAATTCCAATAAATTCAACTGCAAGTTTAAATTTCATACCAAATGGTATTTCTGAATAATTTCCCAACCGCACGATCCGGAAAAAGGGGAAAAGCGAAATTGCGGGGGTTCATATCGGCTGAAATTCACTTAAAATTCAAACTGAACTGGAGCATCGCGTTTTATCCACTTGATTTACGGCGATACCCGGCGCAATTGACTATCCCTGCCTGACTCAATTGCCAGACACAAATGCCGATTTAATTCTATTTACATTCAGTTCACGGATACTCTGTTACCAAATTCATTGTCTCTCCCCATCGACTGACATTCAATTTCACGTTCATCTTGTTTTAATCATCTCTGAATTGATTAATTACCCAAAATAATTCAAACAAATCAACCCACCCATTAAATCATTGCAATTAAATAATTAAATGAAAAAAAAACACTCATATTTTTCAAAAGGACAATTTTATCAAATCAATTTAAACCAACTTCAAGGAATAAAAAATGCGAGATAAATTACAGTTAATGACCAGCGCAACCCCTCAATCCAATCAATCCCCAATAATTCAATTACTGGAAAATTTTCCCAACGAGAAAAAAAATCTTGAGAGTATCCTTGAGAAATTACTCCCTCACGTCTCCGAACTCCTTTAAACTTATTTAATCCCATAATCCCCCCCAACATTGAACCACGAGAGTCAATTGGATAATCCTCGAGACTCTAGACACGATGTCGCATCAGTTTCAATAAAAACTTCAGCAAAAACCCCCATAAACGGAATTCCCCGGACCCCTGTCCAGGTCATCAAAACCCCAAATGGCCATTTTCCCCAGTGAGAAGTTGTCTCATCAATTGTTAGAAAACACCTTTCCCCACCATAAAACGCTCAGCCTCGAGTCCCCTCTCGAGAAGCTCGAAATAAAAAACTAAGTAGAACCGTCGATAACTCGTGTGAAGCGAAAAGTCCGAATGGAGCCCAAAACTTCGAGTCCATAAGTGAAAAATAATATAATACGCCTCACTAAAAGCCTTTCCTCATTCGTTTTCCCTTTTGCCACCAAAAATGACCCAATTTAATCTCCTATCCCCCCCCCCTCCGAGTTGATAATTTTCGTTATGAAAAAAGTTTGGGAAGACTTCAGAATATGTTAATAAACTCAGAGGAGAGTGAATGAAGCGAACAAAATATTGAATTAAAATTATTCCCTCGGGAGAATTTAGTTTCCCAGCATTTTACGGCATTATCCGTACACTAAAGCCGTTCTGATTTTACTAATTCACTTTTCCTTTGAAGATCCCCTATTTTAATGGTAGAAACAATATTATGAAAGGAATAGAAAAAATTTAAGAGCAAAGTGATTCCACAAAAAGGCCTCATAAAAATTTCTATTTAAAATTCAAAAGTGGAAAAGCTATAATATGCCTCGCTAAAAGCTTTCCCCATTCCCTCTTCCACAACCGGAAATAGCCCAATTTAACGTTTCATCCTTCAATGAATAATTTCCTTCATCGGAAAAATTTCGAGCCAGGAAAAAGCCGTTAATAAACACAAGAAATAATAAATAAAGTATTGAATAAAATTTTTTCCTATAAAATGTTCAGTCTCCCAGGACTTTAGAGTATTATTCATACATCAATGCAGTCCTGCATTTACTAATTTCCATTTAATGAAAATGCTTTCTTTGAAAATATTTATTTCAAGTGGGAAAAAACACTCAGCAACAGAATTTAAAATTCAAGTGCCTCTTGCAAAATTCCCACAATCCCCAATTCCCTCGCCCACAACCGGAAACATAAAAATTCGAGCTTTCGAGGCAGCACTCAACAATTTCCTCCATTAAATTATCCAGCCAGTTAAAAAAATCGTCAATTAACCCAGTGAAGAGTGAACAGAACCTAAAATAATAATTTTCCCCCCGAAAAGTTCCCTTTCCCAGGACTTAAGAGCATTATTCATCCACTCATGAACTCCTGAATTTATTATCTACCTCTCCGTCCCCAGAATCGAGAAAAACTCGCTGGAGCATAACAAAAAAATAAAGCGAGACCGAGGAAAAGACAAGACCACCCTTCCTTTCCCACTACATGCATCATAAACCATGACTTGCATCTGAAAGCAAGTGGTGTCCCATCTCCCGTGTCCTCCCCACATACGTCATGAGAAGGCTTTTCCCTCACTCCCCCTTATTGACGCAATAACCCCTCGTAAACCAACCGCATTGGCCATCCATTTGACTCTGACATTAGCAAATGGTGAAGAAAAAAAAAGAATAACACTGGAGAGAGAGAGCATTCTCGACCTCAATCTGGCCCTGGCGTAACCCAAGGAGCCCATTTCCAGAAAACAAAAAGATGAAAAAAAAAAAAAACGAAAGTGTTTCCTCTTTCATTTCAGGGTTTATTGTTTCCTTTGTTACTGAGAGACGCAGCGAGGATACTATACCCAAACACTTATTCCCTGGGCCTGTGGCACGCTGACCTAACGTTTATTCCACGAGTCTATACACACGCGAGGAGAGAAAACCACTCACAGCGGTGTCTCGTGACTCGGCTGTGTACACCGTTGACCCAGCGAATTACGTGAAAAATCAATAAGGGACCCGGGGTAACTCTGAATCTGTACATAACGCAATTTACCCGGATTTTACGGGTGTTTATGTTGACTTGCACACGGAGAGAAATTTTTGATAAAAATTACCCTACCGTTCTGTAAAGGTGTATCATGAGTCATCGTTTCCTCATTTCTATCCCGAAATTTAGTAAAAATTAATATATGATGATCAAATTTTATTCCACGTTGGAGAAATTTTATCCTGACGCATAATAAATTTTACCCTTCCAGTCCAGTAATTTTTATTTAGACAACAACGAAAATTTTAGAACGGTTGGTAAATTTTTTTTTTTTTTTTTTCGAGAATAAAGGAATTTCTAATCAGTTTTGCTAAAAGCGGAAAGGTTGGGCCATCGAAAGCCATTTCTTTTTATTTAATTAGTCATTAATAGTCAAATTATTGAAGATCGCCTGGAGTAAAGATCAATAAAACACCTAATGTAACTTTGAATTTGTACATGACGCAGTTTCCCGGATTTTAGTCTGGTTTTGTTGACTTGCAGTTGTGATTAAGTGCTTTAGTTTGGCAATTCCGGGGGGGGGGCAGGTAGAATAGCGAGGAAAATCTTAATTAAAGGATTGAGAATGTTTCTCTCCCAGGTGGGGCTGGAAATCCAGGAGATGTATGAATTTTAATAACTTGGGGAAAGTCGTTACAAGGGATTAATCAACTGTCGAAGTCAATTTGAGGGGAATTTAAGATTGAATTTTTAATTTTAATAAGTTTAAATGAAGTTAACGCGATAAATTAATCAACTGTGGGCTCAGCACCACAATAAGAAGCTCGAGTCTATTTTACGTGACTTCAAATCATTTCTTGAATTCAAAAATTTCCGAAAAAAAGGACTGAACTGAAAGAAAATTCCCTGACGAACGAGACAATAATTTCTACAATTCAACACGTGTGTGAAAGCAGAATAGCTGAATAGTGTCTGTAAAATGGGTCATTCTCCGCGAAAATCTCTCTCGTAAAATTGTTCAGATAAATTGAAGTGACTTCAAATCATTTTTTGAATTCAAAAATTTCCGAAAAAAAGGACTGAACTGAAAGAAAATTCCCTGACGAACGAGACAAAAACGTCTACAATTTAACACGTGTATGAAAACAGAATAGCTGAATAATGTCCGTAAAATGGGTCATTCTCCACGAAAAGCTCTCTCGTAAAATTGCTCAGGTAAATTGAGATTTCCGAGTAATTGCGAGGGATGGCTCATTGTCGAGGCTTTCTCGATTTGATTTCTGGGGGAATTGGAGCTCCAGGATATTTCATACATTCTTACGCTCGATCCGCATTCCAAATCTTCTTCCTGACCTCCCAGATAATCCCCTCCATCAAAATAATTGGTTCTATTCAAATTCTCGCAGGCGAATGAGACCGATTTCACGGACCGGTTTTCGTTCCACTCCACTGATTTATCATAATAAAATGACATTACAGTTGCTGCAGAGAAAAATTACAGAATTTCTTCTGGCCCGGTCACGTTCGGTGTATTTTCGTACAGCACTTAGGTACCCAACTGTACGCCTGGAGCGATAAAAAAGGGGAAAATAGAAAGGGGGCAAAAAACCTCTGAAAAACTACTTTTTGCGGTGGCTTTCAGCTTAATGAGAAGTACGTCGTTAAAAATTCTTCAGACGGTCTGGGGTGATATATCCCCGGGAAAAGAAAAATCATGAATTCCGGGGGAGAACACACGAGGCTCTGGGAACTGGAACAAATGACTAGGCTCAACCCCTTTCTACGCAGTATTTTTCGCCTATTAGGGAGACAAGCTTCGTAGAACATCTGAGTGTAATCAATGAATCCCTGCCCGGTGGGAAATAACGGCGAATGGAGATGTGCGGGCTACACTGTGTGCGCATTCCAATTTAAATATTTCAAAGGCATGCAATGTTGATGCCTCCAACCGCATATTCCTACGTTAATCCGTCGCAGTTCTATGGGAATAATGTAGTATGGAGGTGGAATTATTCCTGGCGGTATTGTAGACGGAATTAAATTGTATAGATTCAGGTGAGAGATGAGGGATGATAATACACTGTACCTTTGAAACAGGTCAATTTTTTTAAAGTCTCGTAATCCAAAAGAGATGAAGAAAAGAATTTTTTCTTTCTCTTTAGATTTGGAGATATTCAGCAAAAGCCATCTTTTCTCAAGTAAAATTAACTCCTCTTCCTCCATAATATCTCTAATCACATTGAAAATTCAGCAATTGGAATTATTCTCCGGACGCAGAGGCGAGAGTCATGATAAACGAATCTGTTAAGCTCTTGAAATATCAACGGGGTTTGGCCACAGATAACATTTGTCGAACTATCGCATTGGTGTCACTAAACTGAGAGTTCTACTCACTTGTTGATTTTCCGTATGGTTTGCTTCAGCGCTGGAAAGTCTGGTCGATCCGCCGAGTCCTGCGCCCAACAGCGTCTCATGAGTGTCGCCACCTGTTTCAACATTCAGCAGAAACAGAAATATATAGTATATAAAAAAAAATTACTACGAATTCTTTCGTTGTCTCTCTCTTCTCCAGCATTTTATTTCATTTCATTCTCATTATTTTCGTTATAATTTTTTTTTCATTTTGGACCGTGTGTTGAATGTTGGATGCTGCATTAAATAGAAAAAATATTCAAAGGAAGAATTAATGTTTCAAAATAGTCAGTTCTTGTGAGTAAATAAGAGAATTTTTTTTAAGTGATTTCTAATTCATGAAAAAGGTCTCAATGTTCAAAATAAACATTTGAAAAATCGCTGGATTATTAATTATTAATCTTCTTACCCCACACGTGCCATCACTCTCTCAGTAATGAAACGTTGAGAAAATATCTCAGATTACTAAACTCTCAAGTACGAAAGTAGACCCCTCATTAATAATTAATACTTGTGTGGGAGTAACTGCATCAACTCACGTAGCCCCAGGAAATATTCCCCCACATTTCAGTGATTTTCATTACCCGAGGAAGTGAGGGGGCCGGAAATATGAAAAGTCTTTTGTATCGGGGCTAATGAATTTTTCCCCCATTATATTTAATTAATGTACCTGCTGGATTATTCCCGCTGTATTTTATGAGAGTAGAAAAATGATTCACTTTTTTCTGATTGAGCGTGTGCATTTCCACTGATGGAAATAAATCCAGACAATCACTCGAGTATTTCAGTGGGGGCTTTGTTTTTTGATGAGGGGAATAATGAGTGCAGGCAGAGGATAAATTGAAAAATATGTATTGGACTCACTTCCTCCTCGACGGCGGCCTCATCGATCAACGGCCTCAGGGGGGAGCCTCCGCCCCTTCTCACACCCTCAACTATTTCTGAAACACAAAAAGCGCGGGATAAGTTGCATCAACTTACTCAGGATTAAGTACAAGACCACTATTGACCGTAAAATTGGGGCTAATGGGGGAAAAATCCGGGAGAAAATTAATTTAACGCTGATTACGTTCATAATTCAGTATTGTTTATATCTTGTCATGTAACTGGACTCCACTGAATTTTCACTGTCCGCAGAATTCATTATGCAGACATTATTCTAGGGGAGAATTTTCCCAGCAGGAAAGTTCGTCAACTAGTTCACTGGGTGAACCCAGGGAATATTTTATACCACTCGTGTCATCTTCCGTCTCGGAGGAGCCAAAAATGACTCGACAGGACTTATTTATGAAGCTCTCGTGATAACATTCCAGGAAATGTTGAGCTACTCAGCTGAGGCAGCGCATAATTACAACATTGTGACTGGAATTTTCGGTACACTTCTTAAAAATCTTTGTCGTGTCATAGTTTCATCGAAACTTCGAGGAATTTTGTAGTGAAAATTCACAATTTAACGAACACATCATGGGAATTAATGAACATTAGGAAAATTCAAGTAAATTATTTTTTATTCATTCAATTTCTCTGGGAAATTTGAAATTTCATAATTTTTGAGCGGCAGGAACAGAAGAATTTTCAATTAATTTAAAATTTATGAATATATGAACCATTTTCCTGACCTGTATTAATTTTCGTGAAATATTTGAAATAAAATTTAAAGATCTCATTGGTTTTTCCAGAGTATTTTTTATTTTCAACACTGAATTTTTCAAGTAAACTATTTTGTATTTCTGAATTCTCAGGAAAACTTGAAAATTTATAATTTTCTAATGTCACAAGCAAAACATTGAATTCGATTCAGAGAAAAAAAAAACATGAAATTTCACATTTTAGAGCGAAATTTCGATGAAAATATGAATAATTAGTGCCAAATTACGCTAAATTTCCAATTAATTACAAATTCAAGAATATATTAACCTGCAGTTTCATGATTTCCATTAATTTTGATAGAAATTCAAGTAAAAATTGAAGATCTCATTGTTTTTCCCAAAGAATCTTTCATTTTCAACGATAAAATGCCTTGAAATTCCAGTAGAACAGCAGTGTGATGTTTCCAAAAACAGTACCGGAAATTCCCGTCAAAAATTTCAACTGTTTGCGACGTTCTCCACGAATAATTCACTTCATCTGCGCACTGGAACAGGGCACAAGCCTCGCTCCCAGCGATTATTCGGACATTCAAGTTTCCCTAATGCGAATATACATCACTAGGGGTGTCAGAGCACTGTTCCACCCAGTGCTATCGATTGTGGTGCAAACTGGACGGCTGTTTCCATCGCACTTCGTGCCAGTGGATTGCGGAATATCGTGACAACATCAATCGAGTTCAACGCAATTCCGTTTGATTATCCAGAACCCAGTGAGAGCAAAAAATCGCCAGAAAAACTGCAAATGTCACGAGGAATGAGGAAAATTGTGAAAAGAATTCAAAGAATAATCTCATCTTCATTGAGCACTCCTCAAAACCCGTGAGAAATTCAGGAGCCTTGGGAGTCACTTCCGGGAAATTCGCTTGTACTCAGACTCCACAATATCTCCAGTACCTTGAAACAAGTGGAACACGTAACCGCTATGGTCGGACGTGGCTGGCATGAAGTTGCAGCAACACTCGACTCTGTGCCTTCGGAGATCGAGACCACTTTGAACTGAATGCTCTTGGCAAAGATCTTTCCCATCAGCAATGCATTATCTATTATGTTCTCACATACACGAAAAAAAAAAACAACGCAAAACATCAGAAATTAAATCCCGAAAAAATGGAATTTAATGGAGAACAGATATTTCATATTTTTACTCTGAGTGGAAACTGAATTTCTAACCAATTAACTTTATGTTCTTATGAAAGTAACATGTTTTGTATTTATTGTGGGGAAAATATGAAATATGATATTGCATTAAATCGCAATGAATTATCATTATTATTGTTCATTTACTAATATTAAATATTTTCTATTTCTAATGATAAAAATACGAATAATTGCGACGATACAAGTAAAGAAATCCTTTTTTAATTAATTACATTATCCACTTTAATCCTCTACAGTAAATGAATTTTAAATTAAGCTACTTTATATTATTCATGAATATTGAATATTTTCTATTCATAATAATAAAGACAACGCGTTATATTGAATAAAATCGAGATAAAATATGAAATGTCATGTCTTCTTCTTCTATTTGCTTTTACGTAATTATATTTTATATTGCCCTCAGGCTGGTGTAATTTTCATGTCCATTTCCCCTAGAATGAATAATCGAATAAAGCTTTGAATAATTTAGCAACCTTGCGGGAAGCTCAACGTACTGTGCCTGTAGATGTCCTCGAGGTAAACGCTGCAGTGGTCGCAGTTTAAGGTGCAGTGGGGCCTCCGTACCTCCAGCAGAGGACTGACAGCTCTTCTGGGACTGGCACCGCCGTCTGGGCTAGCGCCCTGGAGCGACGGCAGTGCCAGCGAGCTTGTGCTTGATGCGTTGCTCCTCTCGGCCATCTTTCACCTTATTTATTATTCAATTTGCAATGCAATTTGCTATGTTCTTTCATCAATTCAACATCACAAAAAACTGGAATTTTCTTTACTTCTCACTGTCTAGAATTTCTGTGAATAAAGCTCGAGAGAAAATTTCATGAATTCGAGGAAAAATCTATTAGATTTCTATTGAATTTCATCTGTTTATGCAAAATTTTCTGTAGGATTTCCTCGACATGAATTTCCAATTTTTTTTCACTGCATTTTCCTTCTCTCTTCACTGAAAAAAATCAAACTAAAAAATTTATAAAATTTGAGTTGAGAGATTTCTATAAAAAATAACTTAATAAAGTAACTTGAATATTTTTACTGAACATTTCTATTGAAAAAAAAAAATACCAGATGAGCTACAGAATTATTTTTCATCGGCCCAAAAATAATAGAAACTTTGATAGAAGTCTAATAGAATTTCCTAGCGAATTCACTACATTTATTTATGAAATTTTCTCGCACGTGTTTTGATTTGTTTGGAGCTGCTCAGCGAGATAAGCCAAGAAATGTGAAACTCCGGGATGACTCTGTTGAGAGTTGATCCCTACTTTGCTGTTCGCATCTCATCAGAATCAATGGAGACAGGCACAGTGACACCTGCAGACTAACGCCCACTGGAGCTAACATCCTTTGAACTTTACCCCAACGGGCAAATGCCCTGATCCCTACACGGAGCGGCGTGTCCTGGCGTGTCATTTGTTAATCCGAGAATGGATCTGTTCTCTACCTGACGCCTGAGCGAGATAGATTACGGTGGGTTATTGGAACCTATTGGAATTCCAATCGTCCTCGTATCGGGGACATCCGAGTGATTTGATCATTTGTTTTTTGTTCGAGCTTTTTTTGAAATTCGCGAGCGAGTCTGAGCATTTTGTCTTGATTTTATATCGGATAAAAAGTATTGGTTTTTAAACTGAAACGAGTGAGATAACCACAAGAACAAGTATTTTTGGAACTAATTTTTAATTGTGTAATATTAAAAATCAGAACTTTTTATCCGATTTCCAGTGATTTTTACGCTGAATTTCCGATGATTTTCCTCAATAAATAATTCCTCAGTAAATAAAAAACCATAAAATCATGATAAAAAATGAAATAAATAGATAAAATAAATTTGTTTCACCTCATGCTCCCATTTTGTATATTCATCTTCATGATGTTTTCATAAAAATTAATTCATTCCCATAACCTCGCCCCTTGCTTCCTGAATTACGTCACGACGGAAGGACAGAAGAAAAAAAGTCAAGCCTCGAGGCCAGTGAATGCGCACGGGACTTGTGGTAAGAGCTTAGATGACAAAAAAAGACCTGAGAAGATTGCGTTCTCCCAACACGGCCATTGAACATTGCCACTGGGTCACTGAACCGAGACGGCAAAATGTAGAGCAACTTCTCGCGATGATTTCCGGGCTACCCTTCCCTCCTCTCCATCACAGTCTCCCATTTTCCTCCAGCTTTTTATTCTCCCTTTTACGATCGCTAGTCTTATTAACCGAGGGTAAGCGGATTGGAGGAAAATAAAGGGGCGACGGGCGAGGGGATTCTGAAGTTCATCGATCCCCTGAAGCCGATGTCAACATCCGGGATGAAAAACCGTTTGTACGATTTTTTTTCGGAGTTCCGGGTTATGTAAATAAAGATATAAGGGACTAAGGCTTTCAGTGAAATGAAAAATACTCTCCCGGTGGCCGTGGGGTACGAAAAAAACTGGAAGCAGTAGCGGAAGGAGGACTTGCAAAAAAGGGAAAATATTTTCTACCGAGATTGAGTTGTCGAAAGACAGCGGATTGGAGGGATAAATTAATGGGAATGTAATTTTTTTTATTGGTAATGGAAATATTAGTTATTGCTGAGCTTTGCAGTTCATAAATGGGGACTGGAAATGCCGAAGGAATTCAATTCCGGTTTTATTCACCTTTTATACTCTCCATTTTACCTTCGCAAGTTTTATTAACCAAGGGTAAGCGGATGGGAGGAAAATAAAGGGGCGACGGGCGAGGGGATTCTGAAGTTCATCGATCCCCTGAAGCGGATGTCAACATCCGGGATGAAAAACCGCTTGTACGATTTTTTTTCGGAGTTCCGGGTTATGTAAATAAAAATATAAGGGCCTAAGGATTTCAGTGAAATAAAAAAAAATTTCCCTATGACCATGGGGTACGAAAAAAATTGGAAGCAATAGCGGAAGACTTGTAAAAAACGAAAAATATTTTTCATTGAGATTGACCAGTCGCAAAATAAACGGAAATATTATTTCTTCCCGAGTTTTTCACTTGATAAATGAGAGATTACTTTCCCGTCCATTCAAATCTGCAACGGGAAACAAAAATGCCAAAGGAAATCAATCAATTCCGGGCGCAGTGAAAGGAATTAATTCCACGTATTCATTGGATCCGATTAAAATCAAAATGCAAATGAATCCAA